CAGCAGTAGTAGCAGCAGTTGTAGTATATTTAGTAGTATAAGTACTAGTAGCAGTAGTAGTAGTAGTAGTAGTAGTAGTAGTAGTAGTAGTAGCTGTATAGTGGTTTTCGTTGTTATATGACAGTGGTCGCAATAATTTTGCAGCAGCAGCTGTATATACCGTTGTATAGTAGCATGGCAGCAGCAGTAGCAGGAGTAGGAATGGTAATATTGAAATCCACATATATATCGTATGCGGGGGCTATAGCAGAGTTGCAGTGGTAGTAGTACTATGTAGTATAGCTATAGCATAGCAGTATAGCAGCAGTAGCCGTAGCAGTAGTACGTAGTACAATAATATGTATAGTAGATGCCGCGAACCCAAGAGCCATATGGTCAGACCAAGCCCCATCGAGGTCTCTTCGGACAAGAGCTGGGTGTCATGGCAGTCCGGAGCATCCTGGGACACGTGGTCTTGGGGCTCAGGCTGGGATGCAGGCTGGGATTCGTGGTCCTGGAACCAAAGGGACTGGGATTGGGGTACGTGGCCACAAGATGGTGATGATGCTCAAGTTCCACAGAAGGGTAGCGAGGCTCACAAGGTTCAGGCTATCTTGAAAAGGGGGCATACAGTGGATCAGTTATCTACTGAAGAGCTGAAGCTTCTAGTCAAGCACATCGACGAGCAGCAAGAGCAGCCGAAAGCTGACGAAGCACCTGCAACTGAAGCAAAAGCCAGCCAGCAAGCTGCAGCCAAGCAGGGACAAGGTCATGAGCAGGAGAAGAAGAATGATGAGGAGAAGAAGGATGATGATGATGAGCAGAAGCAGGAGACGAAAGAAGAAAGGAGAAAGAGGCTGCATGCGAGAAATATGCGATACTATCGCAGCCTGGAGAGCAACCTGGTTGCAAATATCGTGGTGAATCGAATGCAAGCATTTATAACTACAATTCTCATGTTGCAACAATGCAGGCCCCAACACGCCGAAAGAAATCAAGCGGATGGCTTCGAAGGCGAAGTCGAGTTCCAGTGCTCGGTCATGCCTGTTTGAAGACTGGCTTCAATGTGGCGAGAACTGGAAGCACTCGAAGCTGCTTGCGCGTTTGCGCAACAGATCGTCGAACTCGCGACGGGGGATGCGCCGATGGCTTTTCTTCAGTGAAATGGTTACGAGGTTCGGCGAGGAAGTCGCTGCAGCCATCAAAGAGACGAAAGAAAATGATCCTGAGCGAAGCCTCACTGAGATCAGAAAATGGCCTGAGTGCGAGGCGGGTTTTCGTTGTGCTGCAGTTGTCGAAATACGATGCATCATCCCTTTCGCACTGCAGGACTACCTGCAGTATAAGTGCCTGGTGGAGGAGAGTGAGGAATCGTGCGACGAGGAAGAGTTTGAGGAGATCCTGGAGGCCAATGTGAGCGACTCCAGTGACACATCGGATGACTCACGGCACAAGAAGAAGAAGAAAAAAAACAAAAAATCGAAGAAGGGCAAGAAAGACAAAAAGTGCTCGACCCCCAGCCCAAAGAAGCCGAACAAGACAAAAAAACCGAAAGCGAAAGCGAAGGCCAAAGGCAAAGCAGCAAAGGCGGGACTTGCATGTGGGTTCCGAACTCGAGTCACTAATTAGCTAAACCACAATTTGCTATGTACTGATTTTAAACCTGTGCATATACATAAACTAGCCAAATGCCATAGGGGTGATATCCAATTGTTTTAGAAACCGCTAGCTAGTTTTGAAGTGCCCATGACCCTTATAATTAAATATCATAACATTGAAGCTGTCCCATCCCCATAAAATCATAATATAACATTGAAGCTGTCCCTTGTCCCTGCAGCTACAGGCCATGAGTCCGGAGGAGCTCGAAGCCTACCAGGCTACGCAAGAGCTGAAGTCCAAAGCAACCAAGGCATCAAATATAGAAGTCGCTAGGTTTTTTTAAGGATAGCTTCATTCAACTTATCTACAATTTTCATCCAATCCTGCAGGCATTGCAAAAAGCGACAGACCGGGTCAAGATTGCTACAAAGATCGCACAGGAGAAGAAGGTTGAAGGGATGTCAGTTCCTCATTATATGACCCATGGCCATCATCTGATGCTAGAATAATCATGATCATGTCACTACTGAGGGGCGACCATCTGCTGGAAGCTATGAAGCGTGACGTCGCGGAGCAGGCTGCTTACTTGCAACTAGGTGTCGAATTCCCAATGCCGCCGTATCATGCCAGGATAAGAAGGTGCAGGAGGCTCGCGCAAAGCTCCAGAAGGCAGTGGACCAGGAATCCGCAAGCAGCCTTATTTAGGGTTTTAGGGTGATTATAAGGTTTAGGAATTATAATGATTTAAATTTGGGGTTATATTAGGGTTTAGGGTTTAGGATTTCAGGGTTAGGGCTTACTTCTCGGGGTCTGGATGCTTAGGCTGCTTGATGGGATCTCCTCTCATGGGGTTCAGGGTTCACTTCGAATCAAAGGGCCCAGATTTGTAGCTCATGCTCAGAGGCCCCAGGCAATACAAGGCCCAACCTAAAATCCTGAACCTGATGCTTCAGCTGTTCGAACTCTATGTATTAATTATTATGTGGTTGAACATAAACTTGCTCAGCCCCTGGATAAATAGCTCCAACATTTACAAATTTTAATTCTATGATAATATAACCAACTTAAACGGTTCAACCCGGGTTTGTAGCAGCTAGAGCAATCCAGTGCAGGACGATGCTGCCATCGACGATCTTATGCAAGTTGTGACAGCCACCTGTGAGCAGTTCGATAAAATCAACAAGGATTTCCAGAATCGGAAAGCCGGTCCCAAAGCCGCCCCGAAAAAGAAGGGCAAACAGTGAGGCTGCCTAAGGATTAATGTAGACTATAGCTGTATTCTCAGGGCTCCCTGTGTATCATACTGATCCTGAATCTAGATCTGTGGCCTCGCTGATGTTTTGATGTGTGCCAGGGCTAACCTTGGCCGCTAGCCTGCATATGTGCCTGCATACAGCAAACCGGCTCCCGAAGATGATCATGTGTGCTGCATTAGCTACGTGGACATCGGTGGTTTAGATGCACAAAGGTGTGTACATATTATAACATACACACATGATATATACATACTATACACACATCGACATCCTGACATGTATGTAGGAAGCATGCAATGCATGTAACCTTCTGGTGCCTACCCCACCTTGAACAACTCCAGCCCTGATCCTTGCGAAGTCGATCCCCAGAAGCTGTAGCTATAACTACTTTATGATGTGGTAAATAGGATGTATCGAACCGGTTTACATGATAGGGCCAAGTTGGGATAACCTAAAACCCCTATAGAGCTATCGATGTATTATTATGTTTGGCTTTGTACCTATACTGGAGCTCAGAAGCTCTCAGTTGAACACCCCGGCCAATGTGTAACCAAACCAACCAAATCCTATCGAATCATTATACAAGATATGGCCTGTCTGCATTATAATAATCATCCCGAATGCTGAATCCCCTATGTACAAATAGCCAGGGCCCGTAGAAATGCCGGGAGCCGGGTTCCAAGGGCAGCTGCAGCGGCTGCCGCATGCGTCTGTGGAAGCACACACACCTCGGGTAATCATTGAGATTTCGACTGCACCAACATGTGTATGTACAGTATAATTATACTGGTGTGTGTGGGGGCTGGATGGATGCTTCAGCATAGACCGTAGCTAGCCAATGGCTCTGCTGTTTGACTGCCATGTGCATTTTAGCTCTTGGGTTTCAAGGGTGATGTCGGCAGTGGATACACATAGCGTGTTTGCCGGCTTGATCATGATCAGCAGCTGTAGCGCTGGTGTGAAAAGACGTGCAGTTGCAATCACATGGGCCAGGTGATTATAGTGGTCGTTGGTGCATGGGATTACAAAAACCTGGCCTTGGTCATGCGTGCATGCAGCTAGACACACATAAATGATGTTGTTTAATTAAACATGATGATCATGTGTCCTGCTTATCCATAGTTATAACACCAGATATTGAATTGTGTACTATATGTGTGATCCAGATTCCATCCTTCCACATTGTTGTAAGCGGGTGGTGCACAAGCCCCGTGCAGAGTTTCCCCACAATCAGACAAGGCAATAATTTTAAACTCCCAGACCCCTGAACCTATACCACAAACCCGAAACCCGAAAGCTGAAACCCTACTAAATTACTAAAGCACTTGAAACCTTCAGGCCAAAAAACTAATATCTGCTATATAGCTGTTACATGGAGCTCAGTAGCATGCATGCTCATAACATCGTGTCTCATTATATATATATATGTGTGTGACTCTTCAAACCTACCCATTACATGAAAACCTCAAATGATCTGCAGACCTTTCGATTTGAGCCCCAGCCTCCTAGGTTATATGTGATCGCGAGCAAGAGTCCATGTGGCCAAAGTGCACCCGAAACTATTATATTATAATTATATTGCAGCGAAATTATTAGAATAATAATCTACGGAAACTAGAATTCGAACCTCATATGCCAGGGTCCAATCATCATGACCAGCATCTGCAGTCGCTCCAGCCAGAATCGAAGCAGCTGCCTTGGATGTAGGGGTCATGCCAGGTTCAGACGATGATCACACTGGTGATGCTGCCAATGGGCTACTGCAGAATATCCTGGAGCGGGTATCCAATGGTGACTCTTGTCCGAAGATCCGAGCTTATAATATTATGAATGCCGACGAAGTGCATAGCATTCCGGGCGATGTGGCGCATGCGCATCCTTAGGCCGAAACAGTTGGATCTGCTATGCAAAATGCCCGTGCTAGCTACGAGGCACGGACCTGGAATGTTGCAGTGCAGCGGTTCATAGTAAAGTCGATTTAGGGATTGGGGCTTTCAATCTAGATGGCTATGTATATTCGATGCATGCAGGAGTCTGGCCGGCACTTCAAGGGCAAGATTATGTCCGGACTGGTGAATTATCGACCTGGCAATGAGTCGCGGGACTTCTTCAAGAGAGTGCAGCTGCCTCTTGAACCCCGGGCTATAAATAGTTTTTTTTGTAAAACCACCCTAAGCACCCTAATAAGTTTAAACCCCCATATATGTATATCTACGTATACTATAAGCTTATTATAGACCCTGTACAACATATTCTAGGGTCTCTTCTAATTTCCCGGATTACGTATATGATAACCCAAATCAATAATTTATGATGTATACTATGGACCTGCTGTTCAGGCGGGAGGGCTATAAGAGCAATATATGATGTTTTATTTTTATAAATGTGTATCTGGTGTATATATATAATTAACCTTACCGTCAAAGGCTTTCGGGCCCAAAGACCCTATNNNGCTTTTTGGGCGATTTTGATGCTAATAATAGGGTTAAAGTAGATTTCAAGCAAAGGAGCCTACGCAAGTTCAATGCCAGATCTACGAGGGCTATGAAGGAGATCGTCGAGAGGTCACGACGACGATTCCTGTGCTGGATCCACATGAGCTTTTGGATTATCTGCAGACGGAGCTGAAGCTGGAATGCCCCGTGGACAAAACTCGACAATTTTGGGAGCACCTGCGAGGTCGTGGGAACCCCTTTGCGTTGGGCTTTGATGGCAGTGATCATGTGCCGTTTACATTATACGGCGACGAGCTTGTGCTGGGCAAAGATTCGAGGGACAAGGTGACTGGCGTGTTCTTGCAGCTCACTTTGTTTAAACCTCGGGCTGCACGTCAAGGTCTGTGGCTCCTCTGTGCCATTCAAGACTCCGTAATGGTGCATGCCGACTTGAAGACTTTGCGACCGGTGCTGGAACATATAGTATGGTCTTGCAACGTTGCCTTCGATGGGCGATACCCTCGTGTCTCAATGGATGGGACACCGCTGGCTGGTGCGAAGGCTTTAAAAGCTGGACAGCAATTTGCCAACGGAACTCGTTGGGCTTGCGTGGAATGTCGCGGGGACTGGAAGTGGCACGAGCGCACGCTGAGATTGCTGCGGACCCCTGTTTCGAAACGGTGCTGTTTTTTATGCGATGCAGAGGCCAGCGACGGTCCTCTGCGTTACTATGATGTCCAGGACGGGGCTGCTTGGCGAACCAGTCAGCTGGATACAAATGGTTTTCTTCAGCGTGCTCTTCGGCCTGGGGCATCGAGCAACCTTCTCATAGATTAGATCATTATGTTTTCTTTTGCTAGTCTTTTACTATAATTATGTTGTATATACCTAAAGATAAGCTTGTTAGCCTTATTATAAATCACGATTTTAACATATAAAGGGTTTATGGTTTAGGGTTTAGGGTTTAGGGTTTAGGGTTATTAAGGGTTTATAATAAGTTTAGGGTTTAGGGTTTAGGGTATATTAAGGCCCTCTGACTGGTCTCAGATGCTTCGATGTATCTATGATAAAGTTCTGCTCTATGCATGTCTGCAACCTTGGGCTGGTCCATACTGCAAGCGGAGGGGCAATGTGCCCAAGGCTTGTTTCAATTATAGTTTTATATTACGTTTGTATGACCCGAATGAACTTCGAAAGAAGTTTTTCGAATCCGCATGTGCTTTCTACATCCGAGGGAAGCTTTACTACGTGAGGGCCACTTCGGGCCCTATGCTGGGACAGACGACATGAAGTCGTGCCTCGAGACTGCTTTCAATGATTTCCAACAATGGCGCCGATCAAACAAAATTGCCTGCAGCCAAAGGAGCTTTGCACCCCGACATCTATTGAAGGCTGTTCATGGCTATTATTTGACAACGAAGGCGTACAATGCAAGGATTGTCATGTTGTGGTTGGCAAGCAAGTGCCAGCAAGCGGCTCTCAATGCCCCGGTGGACTCACACATCCCACTGCATGCTACAGCACTGCAGCTCCCCTGAATTTGAAAGAGAAACCCTGTTATATAAAGTAGTAATTATATTAAATAACTTATTATGTACCGCAAAACCCTAAATCCATTCCTGCCCAAATTTAGAGATTAGAAAAAACGCATCAAGACACTACAATCCCCAACCCATAAACCCGAACCTATAGCCGGTACTACAGTGACCCTGATCAATCTTGCAAGCAAGCGTCTGATTGAATCTCAGGACCGCCTTTTCCAGATGGTTCTCTGGCTGCGAGACGGCCAAGCGCTACTTGCAGCTTCCATGGCATATAACACTGGGCTGCTAGAAAATCGTAGTTCTAAGTATATGTATGTATCGGGTGGATCATGGCTAGAGCTCAGGACGGAGCGCCAAAGCGAAGAGATATATGCAAATGGTATGCTTTTTCTGAAATGTCATCTGCGACTGACCCAAGTCTCTCATCGGTTTCTTGGCTTCGAATCACGTCGCAGATGGTATAAATTAGG